CCCTGCACCCCGCACCTGCCTGCGCCCTGCACCTGCCTGCGCCCCGCACCTGCACCCGCTTGCACCTGCACCCCGCGCCTGCACCCCGCGCCTGCACCCCGCACCTGCACCTGCTTGCACCCTGCACCCCGCACCTGTACCCGCTTGCACCCTGCACCCCGCACCTGCACCCGCCTGCACCCTGCACCCCGCACCTGCACCCGCCTGCACCCTGCACCCCGCACCTGCACCCGCTTGCACCCTGCACCCTGCGCCTGCACCTGCACCCCGCACCCTGCACCCCGCACCTGCACCCTGCACCCCGCACCCCACACCCCGCACCTGCACCCGCTTGCACCCTGCACCCCGCGCCCTGCACCCACACCCGCCTGCGCCCCACACCCCGCACCTGCTTGCGTCCCGCACCCCACGCCCTGCAGCCCGCACCTGCACCCACTTGCGCCCCGCACCCTGCACCTGCACCCGCCTGCGCCCCGCACCCCACACCCCGCGCCCTGCACCTGCACCCGCCTGTGCCCCGCGCCCTCACCTGCACCCGCTTGCGCACGTCCTGCAGATGTTGCTCCAGCATCTGCTGCTTCTCCGTCACCACAGCCGCCGTGGGGTGGCTGGCCTGGCCCCCTTGCTGCAGGAGAGGTGACACACGGGTGAGCTTGGGACTCGTGGAGAGATGGCTGGGCTTCCACCCCACCCTCCTGCATGGCTCAAGATGCAGCTGCCGAGAAGTGGGGAAACTAAGGAGGGAATGCTGTGGGTCTGGGGCCCAGGACACCCTGCATCTGCCATCCCTGTGCCAGGGTGCGTGCTCAGGGAAATACGGGGGCGGGGGCCGAGCAGTGCAGGCCTCAGCGTGACCAAGCCCGGCTCTGCAGAGTCATATCAGCAGCACTGGGGACGAGCTCACACACGAGGTCCTAAGCTCAATTCCCAGTTCAAAGGTTAAACCAGTAAGCCCAGAACAAATGGCAATGGCAGACACCAACGCCAGTGTCAGCAGGGCATGCAGCCAGCAGGCCTGTGACTCCTGCACTAGAGACACTGAGGCAGGAGGATGGAAGCTGGAGTCCTGCCTGGATAGCTCAGTGAGAAGAACCTATCTCAAAAATTAAAACAGGGTAGGCCCAGGAATGTGGCTCTGTGGAAGGCTCTGAGCTCTGAGTTTAATTCCCAGAACTGCCAAAATTAAAAACAACTGGTGAGTGATACATTCGGAATAAAAAGGATGCCCTTTAGAGCTCAGGGTGGTGGGGAACCTGTAACTGAACATTCAGGGGCCTGAGGCAGGAGGATCATGAGTTCCAGGCCACCCTGGGCTATAGGGCAAGACCCATCTGGAACGTCCTGCCCTGGGGAGGATGCCAGGTCCAGATGGACATCATCTGAGGGCGGAGAGGCCACCCTGAGGTCAGTGACCCATGAAGCCTGTTAGAGCCAAGAGCGGAGACAGGTGGCGATGGAGGGGGCTGAGTAAGGAGAGACGCTGTCACCCAAGTTTCCAAGCAGGGGACTCCTGGACACCAGACTTCCTCCTGATGTCACCCTGAGCCGCCACCCTCCCGTCTGCCCCTGCGACCTGTTGCCACCAGCTTGGCGCCCAGGCCTCTGCTTTACATCCTGGCTCCTAACTGTGCTCTCTTCAGCCACAAGTCTCCAAAGCAGGTCTGACTCGCCAGCTTTATTTTTTATTTCCATTTTGTTCTTTGTAGTACCAGAGATTGAGCCTAGGGCCTTCTCACTGAGCTACATCCCAGTCCCTTTACTTTTTATTTTTGAGAAAGGGTCTTCATGTTGCCCAGGCTGGGCTTGAACTCAGTGAGCCTCCTGCCTCAGCCTCCCAAGTGCTGGGATGGCAGGCGTGCACCACGATGCTAGCCAGGGTCTTCTTACACTATTGGTCTCTTTAAGGCTTTTCTTTCTTTCTAGCTTTTTTTTTTTTTTTTTTTTTTTTTTTTGGTGGAACCAAGGATTGAACTCAGGCCCTTGCGCTTGCCAGGGAAGCGCTTATTGCACTGAGCCATCTCCCTGGCCCCCTTCTTTCTAGCTTCTTAATGACAGGTGCTGACTGCATCTCAGGCGCCAAGACGCCGCACCCACTAGCCACGCCCTGCTCCCGGGCTCACCTGGGCAGCGGTGGCCGCCGTCTGCAGGAGGCGGGACTCCTCCCACAGGCACCGGGCCACAATGCGTGCGATCTCCATGGGCTTCTCCAGGTACCTGCTCTGTAGGGAAAGAGCGGGGAAGCTGAGGCTAGCGGGGCCCACAGAGAGGGCAGCGCACACGCCTGGCACCCCAGCACTTCGGGCTGAGGCAGGGGGCCTGCGTGAGTTCCAGGCCATCCTGGGCCACCAATGAGCTCAGCCTGCACCGGTCGGCATCATGCTGGGACAGCGCTCTGTGGCCCTGCGTCTCCGCACACCTGCCTGCTTGGTCTCACTTGCAGGTGGCTGACTTTGTCATCCCGCACCTGACTTATAGGCAGGTCACCGGCGCAGGTATGACGCACGAGAGGTGATCCTTGTCAGGATAGTGGCCGCGAGGACCTCCTGGTGACGGGGTAGGGAGGGGGACTGGGCGCCGCCGAGGCCCGCACCTGCAGGAACTGCTTGATGCGGCGCAGGTTGTGCTGGTAGAGGACGTTGGACTCCTGCAGGAAGCGGCTGTACTGCTGGTCGATCTCGCCCAGGAGGTTGTGGAACACTAGGGTGGCGTGCGACTCCTTGCTGGCTGCGTACGCCCTGGGGACACAGGAAGCCCGGTGAGCCCTGTGCCCAGGGGCGGAGGTGGGGAGCCCGGTCCCAAAATGTAAAGAAGGGCTGGGGACATAAGTCACAGCAAACGTGGCAGACTCCGTACCCAGGACCCAAACTCCCAAAACCAAATCAAACCCAGGGCAGGTCTGCCACTCTAACTCATTCACCCTTTTTATCTTTCTTGCTCAGTAACAACTCAGTCATTGCTAACAATTTTTCCAGGAATCAGGAACTCGCACAGTATATGTGGGGAAAAAACCTTTCTCGGCCACACTCCAAGAGATGAGCACACAGGCCCTTGGGTGAGGGACAGCTGTCCCCCACCGCAGGCACCCCGTGCCCAGCACCGGCCCGCGCACCCCGGCCCAGGCGCACTCACCAGTCCTGGCTCTCAATCCAGGGTGCGAGGAACTGGCGCAGCTCCATGGGGAAGCTGTCGCTGTAGAGCTGGTGCAGCTGCTCCAGGTACCGCGTGTCCAGCTGCTGCAGCTGGTTCCACTGCGCCATGCTGCCGGCTCGGTGCTGCCTGCGGCGAGAGCGACCATCAGCACGAGCCCCGCGGGGCTCAGCTGGCAACAGCGCATGTCCCTGACACAAGTGGCGGGGCTGGCCCGGGGTGGCGATGGCACAGAGGCTGCACGGCAGGGGGTGAGCGGGCACGGGACCAGAGCCGAGATGCAGGGTGCTTTTGCTGTGTTTTCTTTTGCTACCATGTCTCACTATGCAGCTCGGTTAGCCCTGAACTCTGGGCAAGCCTCCTGCCTCAGCCTCCAGGGAGCAGGGATCACTGGCGTGCACCACCTCACCTCACTTAGAATCCGGTATGCACCTCAAGGGTGGGAGGTGACCAGGGTGTTGCCGCACACCGTCATCCTAGCACTCTGGAGGCAGGAGGACTGCCACAAGTTTGAGGTCAGCCTGAACTAGAGAGAGGAGCCCAGCCTTCAGCTCAGTCTGTCTGCTAAGTGGGGAAGTCCTGAATTCAGTTCCACAACCAAACAACAAAAATAAAAAACACAAGGTGCATGAGTCAAATCCCTTCCGTGGCAGCTCTCTCTGTCCTTCTACAAGGAGCAGTTCATGGCCCACACCCTGGGGGCTGAGAGGTCCGACAGCTAGGCAGGAAGCAGCCTCCTCTCTGCCGGCCACAGGGCATCCAGGTGACCAGGCGGTGCCCACACAGCTCCATCCAGGGCCACGCGCTCCCCAGGGTGCCGCTGCAGTGCACGCCTGGCCCACCTTGGACTGGACCGAGGGAGAGACACTGGCACACAGGTTGCTCCGGGATGCTCTGGTGTGAGCCGCCCGCTGCTGGGGGCAGCCCTCCCTGCCTAAGACCGCTCACAGCATCACTCCAGACAGAGCAGTTGGAGCCGAGCTGAGAAGAGTGGGGCGTCAGAGGTGGGAGCCAGGCTCAGCACGGACTCCCAAAGCAGGAGCAGGCTCTAGGCAGAAGCCTGAAATGAGGCTGGGCAGCACTGGTAAGAAATCAAAGGCCAGTAGGGCGGGGTGCATGCCTGTAGCCATCGCATGGGGGCTGAGGCAGGAGGGTCTCCTTGAGTTCAAGGCCAGCCTGAACTCACAGGGAAACCCTGTCTCAAAACAAGGCAAAGCAAAACAGAACAAATGCCTCTTGCACTTAGAATAACACACGATGTGAAGTGAAGACCTGCCTCACAGGCCAGGCATGGTGGCACTCAGGAGGCTGAGGCAGGAGAATCGCTTCGAGTTCAAGACCAGCCTGAACTGCACAGAGAGACCATGCCCCAAAAGACCAACAAAAGAAAGGCCTGCCTCACAGACTCGCAATCCTTTGGTTTCTCAGGCCCTCACTGCACAGACAGGAGCATCCCTTTATGTAGCTGCCTACACACAGATCTGTCAAGGCTCACGTCAGGTGGCCCCTATGGCAGCCACGGCCAGGCACAGCCATGCACGCCTGTCACCCAGCCCTCTGAGGCAGGAGGGTCACAGGTCGGCGCTCAGCCCTGGGAAACTAGTGATTTAGTGAGATCCTGTTTTCAAACAAGAAACACAGAAGTCTGGGGCCCAGCTCAGCGAGAAGGCCTTGGGTTAATCCCAAGTACCACCAAGAAGATGAGAAAGCTTTTAGATACTCTGGGCTAGGCCCAGGACCCCAGCATCTGAGAGGCTGAGGCAGGAGGATCGCTGAGAGCTCAAGGGTAGCCTGGGCTACTTGGTGAGACACAACCTCAAAAGAACAAAACAAAAAGTCAAGGAGCAGGCGGCAATTCCAGGGGGAGCGGGGCACACGCGCCACCACCTCTCAGAGAGTACCACACTGAGCAGGCCACACGTTGCCTGCAAGGCGCAGCCAGAGAGCACGCCCAGGGCTCGGTTTACCTTTCTCCCCAACAAAATACCCAACGCTTGCCTGTCATCCCAGCCCTCGGGAGGGCGACACAGGAGGACGCTGTGAGTCTGAGACCAGCCTGGGCTGCAGAGTGAGCTCAAGGCTGAACTGCGTCGCAAGACCCCAACTCAAGAACACACACAAGAAAACCCAACCCCAAAACCCAACCCCCGAACTAAAGGAAGGGAAGGTTCCTTGGCCCACACTCGGCCGACGCCAGGCCGGAGCAGCACGCGGCAGAGGCCGGCCGGCCGCTCACTGTGGCAGAAGGCGGCAAAAGCAGCGCGCGCACAAAGCAGGGGCCGCAGAGCGCAGCCTCCTCCGCCCTCGCCCTGCGCAGGCGGCCGCCCGGTGCAGCACCCCCAGCATCGGCCCCCAAACCAACCCCCAACTCTAGCAGCTGCCCTGTGGTGCCTGCATGAGGCTTTGGGGGACATCCAGACACAACCCGTAACACCACTTGTCTGGGATGCCACCGCCACCTGGCTCTGCGCTCATTGTTTTACTGGGAAAAAAACCAAAACACTTAAAAGAGGCCACTTTATTTCACAATCTCAACTCTGCCTTTTCAAATTATAAATTAAGCTAACAAACTCCACTAAATTGTAACAAAAGTATTTATTTTTAAAAAGTCTTTTATTTTAATTTATTTGGTACAGGGTCTCACTATGCAGCTTGGACTCAGTGATCCTCCTGTCTTGGCCTCCCCAGCGCTGGAATTATAGGCATATAATTCCACTTCCGGCTTTGGTGGCCAGCATGGTGTATGTGGGGTTCTGGGACCAGCATGGCATGTGGTACAGGGAATCGAACCAGGGTCCTTGTGCTATCGGGCAGGCGCTTAGACAACTGAGCTATCTCCCTAGCCCATGAAAGTATTTCTTATGTGCAGAACAATTCTCAAAAAAGCATGAAGAAATTAAAGGGCAAAAGCAAAGGTAGATCACAGAAAATGGGAACAGATCTTCTGTAAAGGGAAGGGACCAGGAAACCAGGCGGAGGTCCACAATGGGAGGAACCTAAAAAGCACAAAGGGGGGCATGGTCCAACCAACCCCTTTCAAGGGACGCATGACAATATCCGAGGCTGGTGGCGCTGTGGCCTGCACCTGCAAAGCCAGCACTTGGGGCTGTGGCAGGAGCTCGGCCGGGAGGGAGGCCGGGGGCTCCCTGTGAGCTCAAACAGCTTTCTGGACTGCACAGGAAGACCTGTGTCAAAACCAGAGAAAGTTTTAAAAAGAACTGTGAGCCTGCAAGTCACAAGCACTTCCCAGAACCCACCCATCTGCACCATGCTGCGTGCCAGGCTCTGGGCAGGGGGCAGGGGCAGGGGGAGGTGGCCGTGTCAGGCCCGGCCCGGCTCAGACCTCTCACAATCTGAAACTAGTTTTCTGCAACAGAAGAGAAAGGCAGAACGCCCAGTGTCGCTATGGTCGCAGGGGCTCTCGGGGCTCCTGGAGCAGGCAGCTTGCAGCCCGAAGTCCATGCAGCAAGCGGGCTGGCGGGGCAGCGCGGGCCTCAGAGCTGTCCACAGCCCCTGGGGGCCTGGTCTCTCTACAGGCTCTGGCCTGGAGAACAAGAGCCACATCAGGGGTCCCAAGGAAGGGCTCGGGACTATGCCTTGAGCCGGCCTCTGAGGGGGCTGCGCCGCCCCAAGCCCCAGGGGGCTGAAACAGAGGAGGGAAAGCGAAACTCATGGAAAGCAGGTGACGGGACAAGAACCTGAAACAGAAAGCGGTCTGCGGAGAACTCCGGTTCCCACGCCATGCGTTCTCCTTGGGTTACCCACACTTCACATGAAAAATCTCTGTTTCAGCCGGGTATGGTGCAGCATGCCAGGGATGCCAGCACCAGGAGGCCGAGGCAGGAGAAGAGCACCGCAAGTTTGAGGCCAGCCTGACCTGCAGAGCAGATCCTGTCTCCAAAAGCCCTCAGAAATAATAACAAAAATAACAAAGAAAAATAAAAGGACTGGAGATGCAGCTCCTCAGTGGAGACCCTGGATCTACTACTCCCAAGAGCCGCAGAACGCTAACTCAGGAAGTACTAATGTGCAGGCAGTGTGGACCCTGCGCCACACCACGGCATCCAGCCCGAGTGGCCGCTGAGGCGCAGGGAGCCCGCTCAGCCCTGGGTGCCTCAGTTCCCCTGCCTGTACAGGGCCAAGGGCACACTGCCCAGGGCCCTGTGGACACGGGGCTCTGGGGACATAGTAGCTGCCAGGACCCTGTGCAGTGGCCCGGCCTCCGGCTGCCCTGTGCCTGTCCCACCACTGCCAACCCGCGCCTGCCTGGCCCAGCACCCTGCCTACCCTGTGGGACAGCCAGGCCCGGGCGAGGACAAGGACCGCAGCGCCCCACTGCGGGATCCCTAGATGGCTTGGGACAGCCACCTCCATCCAGCTGCAGGCTGGGGCCACGGGGGGACTTGTGCGGGCCCTTCTCCCGTGAGGCGTGTGCACGCCTTCACCCCAGAGTTTGGGAGGCTGAGGCAGGAGGACTGCTGCAAATGTTAGGCCGGCGCGGGCCACACACCAAGACGTTCCCAGAGCGCTCCAAGGCTTCAGGCCGAGCACTCGTCTTGCGGCTCTTCGCACTCCAGTCGTCATCACCCGGACCGAGACTCGAGCGTCCTGACTCGAGCGTCCTGTCGTTGCCTCCACCCCGCCCTGGGTTTCAGACCTGGCGGGTTTGGCGTGTGCTGCCCCTCTGCAGCACGGGAGATGCCGGGGCAGCCTGCCTCCCCAACCGCCCAGCGCCACGGAAGCCCCAGCTCAGGGCCCGCGGTCCCCACGTGGTCCCCACACGTGGAGGCAGGACCAACAGAAGTGCGCCCGGCTCAAGCAGAACCTCACACATTGTTCAGAACGTTCATCACAGCCTGCGAGGACGGCGTGGAGGAGACAGACAGCAGTGGAGGTGGCGGAAGGGCACCGTCTTCGCTCATCTCCACAGAATTTAACAGGTCTCGAAAACACATCGGGGTGGCTGTAAATCCTGGAACTCAAGAGTGGACTAAAGCGCCTGCTTAGGCAGACCAGAGACTGGGGTTCAACCCCTAGCGTGCTGTGCCAGCCCCGCACCCAGGGCACACTGAGATGGTGACAGACTGGGCGTGGCGGCACGCGCCTGTAATCCCAGGGCTCGGAAGGCT